TGGAATATGACGTCATATTCCGGCGCCGGTCTCATTCAGCTGTGCGCTGGGGAGCAGAGCCAGCGCAGCTCCCCCCAGCGGCCGCCAGGACAAGTCCCCCAGCGGCCGCCAGAAGACCTCCCCCAGGTGCCGACGGCCCACCGGGAAATTTCCCGGTATCCCGGTGGGCCAGTCCGGCCCTGCCAACATGTACTTGTGGAGGCCAGATATATTTTAACCAACCTATCGGGCACCATGTACAATCTATATTATAATTTAGAGATTATCTCAAAATGTGATGTGCACATTGACCTCCCTATGTGGGCTATGTACGCTTTCTTCCACTGTTGCGTAGTAAGGTGAGAACCCACAACTCCCTGCCAAGTGTCAACATAGGTGGTCGTGTTGGTTTGTGTGGTTGCGAGTGTGCTATAACTCAAAGAGCTTGACAAAGACTAAGGGTCGAAACGTTGTTTGTTGGTTCATGGGTTTAATAAAAATTGCCTTTCTGGGATACTTTGAAGTGCCTGGACTACTTTCTACATTTTAAACTACAATTTTGGTCTCTTGATACTGGGACTGATCCAGCTAGCACCCAAGGATTCCTTATATCAAAAGGGTCTGAGTGCAGTTCCACAACTTATCTATGGATAATTCAAAGATAGCATCTTTATAGGGGTCTTGGGAGGTAAGCACGTCATCTCAAATGCAGATAGGTTAGGAATGGAGGTGTTCCCTTTAATGGTTGTGTAGAGGAGTGATTTAAATTGTAACTGTTCGGGATGGGAGCGAATATTTGGATTTCAGGTCTGAATACTGCAACAGGTTACCAGCGTCAAAGAGAATATGTACATGCGTACATCCACTGGCTGTCCAGAGCCTAAAGTCAAACGACAGGTTCGCTATTTGGACACTGTTGAGAGGTGTAGACTGGGTCCACGTTCTCGCCACGCATAGGTTGGGTCTGTTGGAGTCCAAAATTCTCAGTAAGAGCACTGTAGTAGCCAATAGCTCTGGCAGTTTTGCTTGGGCATCCAAAAAGGAAACGTAGTTCCCTTCCTCCTGCCCAGTGTGATTCAATCTGGATCCACTGTGGCGGTGATAGTGTTGCGTGTGATGCCACCACCATGGACAGTATAGCTGCCTTAAAGTATATTCTGATGTCAGGCATTGCCAGTCCCTACCCCCCCAGTCATTGGTCTGGTGAATTTCTGGTGAGTCAAATGCCTAGGAAGCTTAAGTGGTCCTGTCTCCAGTCTAAGGTGAAAGAGTTTTGCAAGTGGGATCCTTTTATTTTTTTTAAGTTGTGATTTTCCTGTTTATGAACACAGTAGGAATAGCACCTATTTTAGTTTAAATAACTTCAAAAAGGATGAACTGTCTCTGCATACAACCCCTGTATATAAATATCTTTTAATAAGTACAGTATGTTGCCTGTCACAAATGTGGTGTTGTATAGGAAGTTGCTCTGTCCATCCTACTAATGACTACCTATACCCCTCGATCCCTAAGTGCCACAAAGAAATATCTATAGTCCGTAATGAAGTTATTTGGTAGAGAATTCCTGGAAACAACTTAGAAACACATTTAAAATTATTTTAAAAAAATACAATCAGATACCTAGAGTGCTTGTTATTGAAGTGCTCCATACAACAGATCTTGTCTATCTATATATGAATACAGTGGACAATTTTATATATGATTTTCCCCCCCTTTCC